TGCTTGAGGAATGATGATAGATGATATAATCACTGACTTCTTCGCCTTAAGAGGTGGCAACAACCGACAATTTTCTATGCTTGAGGATTAACTTGTCTGATGATGAGATTGCATGTATGTGTGTATCGAGAACCTTGCGATGTGAGCCCGTGAATCGTCTTTTCCTGGGAGATGATCACTAAAAATGATGATGGTTCAATTTTCCTCGAACGTGGGTCGTAGATGGTTCGCTTGTCCCCGAACGTGGGCTGTAGATGGTTCGTTGTCCCCGAACGTGGATCGTAGATGATTATACATTCATGCCGAGTATATTCGACTATATTAGGTACTCAAAATATCAGAAGTATGATTTTAATGCTTGCTAAGGGTAAAATGGTAATTTTGGTACTATCTAAATATCAATTAGAATTTCTCGCGAGTTTGCAGTGAAGAAATAACTGTCAAAAGCTGCGAAAACCCATTCAAATTGGTCAAAAGATGCTTGGAAGATTTGCTGAAAAAATCCTACAGTTTACAGGACATACGAGCGCGTGCACCGTTTCACATGGCTGGGAACCGTGACATGGTATTATGTGCCTTTACGCGGCGTGATTTACCGTGTCACGGCATACAGACAGTTGACACGGTGTTTTTCCTTTGCCTTTATATTCAAAAATCGCGACTTCTTCCTCATTCATTTCTTTACTGCTCGAGTTCGCGTTCGTTGCTGGTGCGGTTTTTCAGGCTTACCTCACTTGTTTCTTTACCGTTTTTGCTCCAAATTCTTGTAAAGTTCCTCATTTTTGAATTCCTACAAGGATCCATGTAAGTTTACTTGCCTCTTGTTTCAAATGTTGCTACAAATGAGAAATTTTTGTGTAAAAATCCTTGAAAAATTAAATTAGGGGTTTTTATGTTGAGCTTTTATGTTGAAATTCTTGCTATGATTTTGCTTGTTCATGTATTCATGTTGGTTTGTGAGCAATTTAAGGCCAAAATTGCATGATTTAGTGAAGAAATGAACAAATCACCATTTTTGGTGCTACTTTGTGCGTGAATGGTGTTCATGTTGTTCTTGTTGTGTTTTGTCCTTGAAAAGATAATATAATTGTTGTAGATTTTTGTAAACCATGCTATGATGTGTAGATCTATTGTTTTTTGCAATTTTGAAACATGCTTTGTTTTGCATATATACTGCATTGTCATGGAGAACATAGTGTCATACGGCTAGGAAAATTATACATAGTATTAGTTTGTCTTGAAGAAACTAAATACTAGAAATGATTCCATTATTTTGCTAATTTTTTTAGCCTTGAGGTAAAGATATAGCGTATAACGGAAAATGCGACTTTAGGTAGTTGTAATGTTGTTTTGAATAAATAACTAAATAACTTAGGAAATGATGCTAAGTATTTAGATTTTTATCTTTCATTAACATAATAGCATACCTAGACAACGCAATCGAGATATTTCTACTCATGACCGGCATCAGGCCTTGAGAGAGGACACTCCCTCGGTTCCCGAGGATATGGAAGAGGTTTGGATCCTAAGCCTCGCCCCTCTATGAGCAAGGGTCAGTGGACCCTACCTTCGTGGACACCAAACGATCTAGTTTTCTATCGTGAGAACCATATTTCTCACCGTCAACTTCCCAAATTAGTCGATGGTGTACTTCGCCATCATGGTTCTAGAGCTGGAGACTTGATTCCCCATCTATATAGGTTCATCATAGGAGATCCCATTACCAACACATTATGGTTGTCAACTGGTTTAGGAGATGTTTACTTAGGGTTGTAGGATTTCGTAGCCCCCGATGCTGTGGTTCGACAGTCGTTCAAGCCTTGTTGGAGTATATACGGGATACTACTAACAGTTTCCACTTCGCTTGGGGGGGATGATGGTGACTCCTCTCGATTTCAGCATGATTAGTGCCCTGTGTTTCATTAATCGGCTCGTTTAGCAGATACCTGACCTCACTTGGGGGGCGAGTGAGGTAAAAGACTTGTTAGGTCCCATTGTTCACCATATCAGGACTCGGTCGGTGCCTCGGGGTGGTCCTCGGAGTGGTCGGTAAGAGTCAGCTTCTGTTCTTGCCCACGATTTGGATATTTTTGAGACGACACATGAGCAGGGAGTACGAATTTTCATCTTGATCCTTATTTCCGGGACTCTTTCTCATGAAAAGAGTTTTCGCGCGCTTCTCTGCTACCTGTCGTCTCTCACCAGGATCGGTGAGATAGGTTCCTTTAGTTGGGCTGGTCTAAGGTATGCCGATCTATTCTCGTCGCTACGTCATAGCTCTAGGTAGCTAAATGATCAGTATCCTGTTACCATCTATGGTCTTTGGAGTTGTAGAGGTGACGATCCTTTTTCTTCGTGCTTTACTTTTATCGGTTTGGCTCATGTATTTAAAGATTATTCTTGTTGTAGCTATGATTCTATGAGTACTTTCCAAGATTAGCCCCTCGACGGCTTCGAGGAGCGATCAACGATTTTCCTAATGGTGCCAGCTGGCGTGACCGGGGCGAGTCTCCAGTGGACTTAGTACCGAGTCTACGAGGGTTGCTGTACCGAGGTACCATCACTTTTGGCATAAGGATCGACTTTACAGTGTATTTCTTTCAGTTTTTAAATATTTCTTGGCATTCACTGTTTTCTTTTATCGTTTTCAGGTCCTGGTCGAGCTTCAGTATTGACCCTAGGCTGCCAAGACTGACCTACCCGAGGCTTTGGAGCGGCCGACGAATCGTACCGTCTTCTTTGGTACAACACGGCTTGTGTGGTAACTTGGAAAGTGCGTAATCCGTCAGCATAGCGTTGACCGCTTTCTAGTGCCATTACCTCCGCCTACGTCGATGTTGCACTCACGCTTGTTGGAGGCACTGGTGAGCGAAAGAGAGTGCTATTAGTTTTCTTGGAGAGAGCTCGTGCGTGTGAACGGAGATTATTTAAAGGATCTACTTCCTTACTTGGCTCCTCCACCCCGTCTTCCTGAGGTTTAATTTATGAGAATTTTCTTTATGGTAGTCCTTGTTTAAACCGTCAAATAACTTGATTATTCGATCATATTTTAGGCAACTGCTTATCGTAGGGGGAGGATCGAGATCCCATTCCAGTTTGTCCGTTACCTGGGGATGATTGGTATGTTCGAGGATCATATTGCTGATGCACTCGAGGGTTTTAGAGAGGCGCATGAGTCCCTGCCTGAGGAGTTAGACCCGGTAAGCTTTCTAACACAACTTTCACTTTTCTTAATATTGCTTGTTACTGGTTTCTTACTTTCAGGTCACACACTCGGATATGATGGGCATGATGAAGCTGGTTGATGCTCCGAAATATTGCATCATCAAGCTGCGACGTGGTGCAAGTTGTCGGAGCGGTTCAGACAATATTTACGAAGTATATTCGCATGTTTTTTCCATGTTTATTTTTTTCTTACACCACTGTTATCTTCTTATTTGTTGTCTTTTAGGAGTGATAGAGGTCTCGCTCGTGCTCGAGGCATAGAGGCTCGGAGGAGGGGGAACCTAGTCCCTGCGTACGATCACTTGAGATTCATCAGCATTCTAAGACCTTGTGGGAGCATCCTCAGTCTTCTCAACTGTTTCTGCAATTTAAGACCCAGTGGCAGAAGCCTTAGTCTTCCCAGCCATTCCAGCATTTTCAGACCCAGTGGCAGCATCCACCGTCTTCCCGGCCATTTCAGCCTTCATAGCCTGAGTTTAGGCCAATCATTACTGTTGTGGATTAGAGCTTACATTCGGTTCTATTGTTCGGGACAATGCCTCCATCGACGATGCCTACATCTTGGAGTCAGCCTATGCAGTTTACTAGTTGGTTAGGGCCTTCCATGAGTTTGTCTTCTACATGAGTCACGGGGACTAGTAGGACACTACTCCTCGTACTCAGATGATGGAGGGCCTTTTTAGTGCGCCATTCCTTTACTCGTAGCCTTAGCAAGACATTGGTTGTAGTTCTTCCGGATCTAGAGAATTTTGACCGAGTGTTTTTATTATGTACTTGGTTGATGACATTTGACATTATTTATGTGTTACTTTGTACATTTTATTCACACTTTTTATATTTGACACTTTATTTATCAATTAGTGTGTATGTTAGTGTGTGCCTGTGACTATTTGTGTGTGACTGTGTATTTATTAACGACGCGAAAAAGATCCGTAGTTTCTCGTAAGTGGAGGGTACCGACCTTCTCCCAAAAAGAAAAAAAACAAAGAAAGAAAAAAGTTTTACAGCTTCACCAAAATAAAAAGAGAAAAAAATAAAAAAATAATAGTAAAATGGGACAAATTTTACAACTTCCTCAAAATAAAAAGAAATAACAAAATAAAAGTAAAATAGGACAAGTTTTACAACTTCCCCAAAAGAAATAACAGATAAAAATAAAATGGGACAAGTTTTACAACTTCCCTAGGCCAAATTAAAAAGAAATAACAAATAAAGATAAAATGGGACAAGTTTTACAACTTTCTAAAAAAGAAAATAAAAATAAAATAAAAATAAGGAAATTTTAACTTTTACCACCAAAAATCAAAAAATTATTTTTTACCACCAAAACTTCTAAAAATTTTATTTTACCACCAAAAAAAGTTCTAAACACTATGTTTTACCACCTAACGTCAAGAAAACCATTAAATCTAACGGTTTAAAAAACATTTTGGCCCTCTGGGTCCAATTTGAGGTCAGAATTGACAAAAAATGATCGAAAATGTCTCGTTTTGCAGTTCACGCAGCTCGGGGTATTTTTAAACACGAAAAATGAGACATTTTCGATCATTTTTTTTTATCAATTCTGACTTAAAATTGGATCCATAAGACTAAAATGCCCCCACAAAACCTCTAAAGAGCTTGTGTTTGACACGAAAATCGAAGAATTTTAAAAATTCCGTTAGGTTTTTAACGACAGGTGGTTAAACATAAATTTTAATTTTTTATTTGGTTGTAAAATAAAAGTTTTAGAAGTTGTGGTGGTAAAAAACAATTTTTTGATTTCTTTTTTTCGGTGGTAAAAGTCAAAATTTCCTAAAAATAATCTACTATATCTATAACTCTTAAAAGCCAAATTGGTGAAAAAATGGGTATCTTCTTATGAACAGTGTACTGACTATTCTACCCCTAAAAAACTAAAAAAAATTTATTGACGTCTTTACCCTTTTACTTACTAAGGCAGGCTACTTTGGTTTTCTTTGGATCAGATCAGTCCTTTTCTCTACTTAGTTGCTTTCTCTCTCCTCTCCTTTCTCCATGTTCTCTGATCCTCCATGGAAATAGCATTTGAGGTTAAATTATTTTCTTTTTATTATTAAATTATCGAATATGAGACTTTCTTACTCCATATTTTTTTCTCCATTGAAGCAACTTCCGAGCTTTTTCCGTTCCTCCATTAAAGCAAATTATGAGGTTTCCCATTTATTGAAGCAGCTTAAAAGGTAATGTGTTTTTCAATCATCACGTTTCCATTTTAAAATCGGATTTAATCTTTGTGAATTATTATCAGATTTACTTCGATCTATTTTGAGAAAAAAATTGAAACCAATTTTATTAATATTTGTGGGTTGAATATTTTAGGGTTCAATTTGATCAAAAATTAATGTCGGGACCTCCTGATCAATTTACTCACTTGCATTCTGGGTATATCAAATTCTGGTTAGTGAAGTTTTCTTAATCTAGGGTTTTAAAAGGGATTTATGGGTTTTATTTTGGATTAATTTTGCCATTTATAGGGTCAGCCCCTAATTTCTTGTCAATTTTTTCAGGTATTAAGTTTCAGGAATTATGGCTCGAGTATAAGTCAGTAATCTAGATCTTCAAGTCACTGGACGCAAGCTTGAGTTAATGGTGTCCTTGGCAGGTTCTGATTTTTTAAAAACTGTCTTCTAGGATTTTTTTAAATAGTTTTTTAATGAATTTTGAACTAGGTTAGTGTTTATTTGGATGTGATTCTAGAATTGAGATTTTAAGTTCTGGTTGCTACTGAATTAAACATATGATTTTTTTTTGGAATTGTTGGGATCTGAGTCATCTGGATATTGTTTTGTGTACTAAATCGTGTTTTGACTTTGGTTGTGTGTTGATTTATTGCTGAATTAGTGTAGATTTATGCATTTTCTATGAATTATTGATTATGATTTGGGTGGAAATTTTAGAGAATGTAGAATGGGGGTGATACGTTTCTTATTAGGGATTTGGGGTTAGAAATAGGATGTTTTTATTGTTAAATTATGTGGGATTTTCACATTTTTATTTTTTGATTGAAATAGTGGTTCATGTCTTCTGCATCATGCTGCAGAAACGTAATGCAGGTCAACTTTTGCGTGGAGATGTCTTAAACACTTATTTAAAGAATGCAGTTGCTGAGAAGATGACTTTTTTCTGTCAGAGCAAGGGTTCAGAGATGGAGCCCACTATTTCTGCTAATGAGACTCTCTTTGTTCGGAAGCTCCCTTATCTGAATGCAAGGTAATAGTCTTTGAATGTTTTTATTGTTTGATTGTTGTGCCATTCTTGCTTGGGTGAGAACATTGTTATAGTTTACAGTTTTTTGTGTTTTAGCAAGACCTTGAAGGCTTAGAGATGTCTTCTGTTATTCAATTTTATTTTCAGATTACTGTGGAGTTCTCAAATTCGACTTGCATAGGTGATTACAATTTGAGTGTTCCATTGTTTCTGGGTTTGTGTAGAGCTTCAAGCTCAGATCTTTAGGCAGTGTTAGTTTCATGATTTTGTTTGGGTATTTCATCTTTGCTTGATTAATTGATCCATTTTTACTGTTGTTTACTTTGATCGATGGTTTTTTTGTTTCATGCAGGCATCGATTTATGATTTTGTCTTTTTTTTCAAAGCTTTCAAATTTTGGTATTCTAATATCTGATTGTAGTTTTACTTCTTTATATGGCTAATGAGGAGCTCACTTGCTCTGCTGTGTTGGATTTCAGGCTGAAAGAGGAGGAGATCTAGAAGAATATTGAGGCTCGTGAGTTTATTCAAAGTCAGAGGAGACTAAACGCTTCTTCCAGCTTCTCTTCGCGTAGTTGGGCTGCATCTGTTTTTCAATATTGGAATAGGTAAATGGTCTCTCCTAATCCTAAGAGGAGACTAAACGCTTCTTCCAGTTTCTCTTCGCGTAGTTGGACTGCATCTGTTTTTCAATATTGGAATAGGTAAATGGTCTCTCCTAATCCTCAAGCCTTACCATCATTTTCTAATTTTATAAGCCATTACCATTGTTTAGGTAATTAGCATACTGTTTGTAATTCCATTTTTTATGCTTAGTCTTGTAGTTAGATGAAGAGCTAACCGTTTTATTACACTGTGCAAGACATTATGAGTTGCCACCTTGAATCGTCTTGTAAAAATTTACTTATTGTGAGGCAGTCTCATGTGAGATGTTGCCTACAGGAATCATGAAATCCAATTCATTCATCTGATTATGTTATGATAATCTCTATATTCGGTTTGCTTTTGTATGTGAGTTGGCTGTCAGCATAAAATTGCTATTTGTTGATCAAGTGGAAATTGCAGCATAAATTTTGATGATATTGTGTAAATGTGTAATGAACTAGATATAGGAGGTAACAATTAGGATTGCACAATGAATCAGCTAAGTGCTTGAGGAAGAAGGCAGAGAGTAAGCTAAAAGAAATGTGAAAATCAGGATGTCTATATAAATAGAGGGTAGGATGAGGGGATCACAAGAAGAATTCAGAAGTTTAATATAGCTTTAATTAGCTTTGTTAGAGGATCAAGTCTCTTGAATACTTGATATTTATTGTAATAAAATTCTCAACCAAATTCACCATTTTCATCTCTTCATCATTTTCTTAAACATGCTGATTTATAACATGTTGTTGAAGGTGCGACCTGTGGTTGAAACAGGATATGAAACTTTGTTGCTTTTGAGGTTGCTGTTGGAAATCAAAATTCCTTCCCTTCGTAAATATTCAGTGAGTACCAAGGATGCATATTATTCCAGCAATATCTTCATATCATTTATATAACCTCAAGCCATTGAATGATATTTGCCTTTAATTTGGATGAAAGTATGAAATTGTACCTTTTTCTTGAAATTATATGACACTAATTTGATGATTGAATCAACTTTAGTTGCTAATGTGTTGCAGAATTCTTTAGTGTTGGGATGAAATTATGAAATTTCCTTGTATTTATGACCCTAATTTGATGATTGACTTGACTGTAATTTGGTTGCTAATGTGTTGCAGAACTCTTTAATCTTGGGATTAAACTATGAAATTTCCCTAAATTTTTTACCCTAATTTGATGACTACATTGACTTTAAATTGGTTGCTAATGTGCTTCAAAACTCTTCGATGTTGGGATGGAACTATGAAATTGCCCTAAAATTGTGACCTTCATTTGATAATTGAACTAAATTTGGTTGTTAATGTGTTGCATATCTCTTTTAGTGTTAATATTGAACTCCATGAATTTAATTGGTCTTGAATATACTTACAAAGGAAAATTACAAACAAACTTTATTATATTGTATGAAAATTCTTTTACTATTTGTTTACCTTTTTAATTGTTGTAAATTTTTTTAAAAAAGAGATCGCTTATTTTAGATTTCATAACTTCATATGCTGTTAATTAATGTTTGAATTCATGCAGAATGTTCCGTTAGATTTTGCTAAAGCACACTTTGGTTTGTTTCCAAAATTAACCAATGTTGTTGTGCATTTTTATGATACTCGATTTGATGCTCAATTGAAAAATAAGATACGCGATGACAAACTTATCCAATGTTTTATCAACAATCTTAATGTATTTGTGCTATTGGAAGAATAAGCCCAAAATATTTGGTAAAGTGAAATACATATGATATATAAAATTCTCAGCTTTGTATATGAGAAATAAGTTTTTAAGAATATTGATTTGTAAAAAATTCGTACAAATGATTTAAATTTTATTTCGCACATAATTGTGTAGTTAATATATAATCCAAAAAATAGAACTCCTTCATTTAATGGACAACAATATTAAATTTGGGCCTGCCACATTTTGCATTGGTTATACTTACATTTAAAATGTTTTTCAATAGGAAATTAACACATTCACTAAATTAAAGGATTGTTCTATAATGTCAAAACATTAAACTTGTAGATTCATAATTGATTTATTTATCCCGATAAACAAAATACTGCGCGCGCATCGCGCGCGTGCTCCACAACTAGTAAAGAGAAAGGGCATTTTGGTTGATAAATTTGACTTTTCCCATAATGCCCTTCTCTTTTTGCACAATTACATCTAATAACAACAATTCAAAAAAAAATTAATAACTTCCCTAACGTGGTACTAATTAAAAAAATAACTTTTCTTGGGTGGTTAACTTAGGCCTATTTTTTTGATATTCACTTGCACTTACAAGCTTCTCGTTTGTTGTTTAGTACTAATTCATTTGCATACATATATATCTTTCCCTAATTTAAAAATAAAAAAAACAAAATAACTATCCTTAAAACTAACTACTCATGCCACATTAAAAAAAATAACCACCAAAAAAAACTTTTTTTTTAAATTTTTTTTTACAAAATCAACGTACAAAAACTGCTTTTTATTTTAGTTAAAGTAAAACTGCTTTTTTTTAGTTTAAATAAACTGCTTTTTTAAATTAAAAAACTCTTTAAAAAAATACAAACTACTTTCTTTAATCATACATATATCTTAGGAACAAAGTGGTTCAAAAAAAAAAAAGAACATTAATGATCTTTTAGCCATGGTCAATTTTTATCATGGAAAAATTATTAATTTCTTTATATAACGGCAATATTATTTAACGAAATAAAATTATAAATTATGAATAAATTAAAGTAATAAATTTTTTATATTGTACACGCGTATCATGTACTTCTTAACTTGTAATAATAAAGGGAGAATTTTAATAGGAATAAAACATTTGAAAAGGAGAAATGGTTAAGGAAAACAATAGATAATCCGGAAAAAATAGGTCGAGGATAAAAATTAGTGACGCGTAAACACCGCAACACGTGTAAATACCATGTCACGATGTAGGATGCTGCGCCACGGTGCTTTGTCCCGTGACACGTGGTAAGACAATCTGTTGCGCTGCCTCCAGCAGTGCAACAAGATCACTTGCGGCGGTCAATCGCGCGCAACCCATTTAGATGCGCGGGACACCTGCTGCGGTAGAAAGCTCAAAACCCTAATCATGTTCCCTCACTATAATAGGGGCTTAATACGAGGCTTTAACACACAGAAATTAACCCTAAATGCTGGCAAAAAACTTGTGAACTTGTGTGCAACCAAACCCTCATGTCCTAAATACTCACCCCTCTTAATCTTTGTTACTATGGTGAGGTTCCCGAAAAAAGAGTAAATATGTGTTATAAACGATGATCTAGCAAAGAGAAGTGGTAAATTCCCGAGCACTTAGATCAATCACCTTTATTTTTATTGTTTAAAAGGACTTTAATGAATTAATTAGTGTTCTTTGATCGCTTTAAACAAATTTCTAATTAATTAATTTCACATAGTATCTTGCATTTAAAAAGAATAGAATTGAATAATTAATTGTTGAGTGATCACTTAAGCCAAGACGAATCTTGTTTATTTTGTTCCTCTCACGAACCTGAATTATATAAAGATTAACGAATTTGCAATGTAATTCCTAGGTGATTAATGTGTGTAAATAAAATCAACTAACTTAGTTTTAAGTATCATGTTGCATATATTTGGTAATGAAATTGTGAAAAAAGGAAGAGCTAGTAAAGGCCGTAACTAGGGCTAGAATAGCGATTCCTCCCTAAAAGAAACGTTATTTTAGTACCCTCGCTTACGAACTCATTTCAAATTTACGTAGACCAATTTGGGCATGGGTAAACTTACGATTCGTGCTAATTATCCCTTGAACTCTACTTGGGAGAAAGTCATGAACGAGGTTGATGAGTTTTCCTAAAACTCATTGGCAACTCCTACTTGTTTCTTACAAAAAAGCGTGATGAGAGTATTATTGCTTATTCAAGGTCTCCCAAACAGTTAGGAATTCAAATCCTAATACACCCTAACAAGTGTAAATTCCTAGGCTTTTAAAGGGCCATGAGCATCTAAGGAGAAAGATCCCCTACGATGGGAACACCGTCCTTACAGTGGCGACTCCACTGGGGACTTAAAGGTTACAAGATTAGTTCGTAGTTATGGTTCAAGGTTTCCAACACTAAGTTTCCTATGGATTGTAACGAGAATTAACTTGGATAATCTCTAGTTAGAGAGCAAGACTCGAATGCATAATATCTTCCTTTTTCACAAAAGTAAAAACCAAACAAGCAACATTGCATCATGCATAATCAAAGCACACTTTAACCATTGGGGATTGGCTCATTGACTAGGGGTTGCCAACACTAGGCTTCTATCCCAAAATCAATAACAATCATCCCACCCATATCGCCAATAAAATGTTGGGTGGGCTATGTCAGGAGTCAACACGTTGAGTGATTGACCTGTGCATCGTTCCTTAAGATATGACCTTAGAATGACATTATGTGAACCTTGGCTTATTGTATGCTTATGTGATTACATGACTATGTGTGATGTGTTAAGATAGCTTTTTTTTTCTTTTTTTAGTTTGGTTTAGGTTCCCAATTACGAAGTTGTCTCTTTGTAATTTTGAGTCATATTCGAAGGGTAACATAAAAAAAATTGAATTAAAATACAAAACAAAAAAACCTGCTCGAAAAAAAAAGTTGCACGAGCAGGTGACACGCACAACTCATCGAGTTGCGCGACCACAACCAGCGCAAGAGATTAGGATGCGCACGTCAGCCGCGCGCAACCTAGTTACTTGTGTGCGCCTTCTGCTACGAGCCTTTTTTATTTTGCGAAAAAACAAATTGGCTCGTTCAAACAATATCTTCGTTGAAGAATTGTTTAAAGGCGATGTTATTTGTTCGAATATATCTTGCGTTCTTTCCTCTTCTTTTATCCCTAAACAAGTGTATTTATTTACTTATCCTTTCGTACTTCTTTTAGGGTCGGTTTCAATCTTGGGAACGAAGTTTCCTGGGTGCTCGCATTCTACGTTTACCACCAAACAATCCACCCCTTTCAAACCACCAGCCCTCTACAATAAGTTCTAGTCCAACAACAATCATCCATAGAGAAACTTCAAGAAGAGATTGCTCGCTTGAGAGAAGAAAAGGATCAAGAGGCCGAGGAGAGAAGAATTAAGAAACTTGAAAAAATTGAAAAGAAAAATGCCGAAGCTTTAGCTTTGCAACTAAAGATGGAACAATTATCCAAGAAAGAGAAGTCGTTGGAGAAGCTTGCTCTTCGTTCTACAATGAGGAACAAGTACTTCGATGCAGAAAAGTTTGCTCCTCCTACAGGACTCACTTTACTAGAAACGTTTGTAGCTACGGACTTGCCAATATTCAAGGTGACTAATAATCCACAAAACCATTTAATGTGTTTTACTAGAACTATGGCTTTAAAGAGAGTTGATCCTAAGCTTTATGCTTTGACTTTCCCTTTATCTCTAGAACCAACCGCGAGAGAGTGGTACTATGGGCTAGATCCAAAATTCAAAGCAACATGGGAAGATGTAGTCTCGGCTTTCATTACCCAATATGAGAGTAACGTAGAGTACAAATCAACTCTACGTGAAATTGAAATGCTTAAGCAAGGCAACGATGAAGGTTTCCTTGCTTTCTATGGTAGATGGCGAGAAAAGGCGGCCCACCTTGCTCAAAGGCCACCTGAACTCGAGTTAGTACAAAAATTCATTGACAACTGTCATGAAACGTACAACAAACATCTACGTTACCTTGGTTTAGACACTTTCCAAAAGGTCTATTATGTGGCTACTAGGATTGAAGATGATCTTGCTAAAGAAAAAGCAAATAAGCGTCATCATCATCAACCTAAGAATAACTATAAGAAGGGGAATTATAACACTACATCTTCTACCGTTGTATTTGCGACTTCTACCAAATACAATAGCACAACTCAATATCAAAGTAATGATCCTCGAAGAAGATGGACAAAAGAAAGAAAATTTACACAATTCCCTATGAGTTACAAAGAGTTGTTAGAAAAATTAAGCGAAAAAGGTTTACTTACACCAACAGGGCCAACGCCACCCACTCCACCAGAAGAAGATATGCCCAATGGGATAGAAATGCATATTGTGCTTATCATAGAGGTGTTGGGCATGATACTGAACGTTGCTATGTCTTAAAGCACAAAGTACAAGATCTAGTAGACGATGGGAGAATTCCCATGCCTAAACCCAACAACAATGTATCCCCATTGGGGGTATTTCACATTGATGAGGAACATATGGGAAATGATACGTTCAATCCTTTGGACTACATCACACCTATAGGGAAACCTCTAGCCACAACACTCGTAGGGGCAACTATCGAAGTGTGTGGATTATGGGATGAAGACTTTCAAGAGTTATATGTCTCTAAGTACGCCGCCGTCCCACCTCCACCTTGTCTACAAAATGAGACATGTGGAGCGCTTGAATGGGATCATTTCATGGGAAAGTCGCAAGATTTATCAAATTTCTCCTTGGATGAACAATGACATCAAGCACAACTAATGGACGGAACATCTTGAAATTGAGGCACATTCAAAACCTCTAGAAGAAAGTTGGTTCACGAGTCTTATAACTAACCCAAATGAGATAGATCATCTAACTCCTTTTGGGCGAGTTTATCAAGCACAACCAAATGGATCTTAGACCACTCAAAATTAAACTCAAGGTCAGCTCAAAATTTAATACCACCTCCCCTTGAGGTGGAAGATCCATTGGTCAAACAACTTTGCTAATACAAGACGAATTTTAGCATTTGGGAACTCTTAAGTACCTCTAAAGAACATAGGAATTCTCTTATGAACGCTCTGACGGCTTTGTCTATAAGCACAAACACAACTCCCTAGGATCTCGTTAGCTTGCTTACTAGTGAGAAATCTAAAAAATCAATCATTTTTACTAGTGATGATTTGCCTTCAAAAGACACTACCCACAACAATGCATTATACTTAATTGTGGGATGTAAGGGATACTACATCCCTCTTACTTTGGTGAACAATGGGTCAGCTGTAAATGTGTGCCCATTACGAACTGCAAAATATCTAGGCCTTAATTCAGAAAAAGACTTCAAATCTACAACACAAAGAATTAGGGCCTATGAAAACTCGAGGAGATTAGTGTGTGGAACTGTTAAACTACCAATTACCATAGGCCCAATTCAAAATATGGTTGAATTTCATGTCATGGATATCAAACCTACATTCAATCTTCTTCTTGGACATCCTTGGATACATGAGATTGGTGCAATACCATCCTCACTTCATGAAATGGTTAGGTTGAACTATCAAGGTCATCCTATGACCATACATGCTTCTCCTCTCAAAATAGCAATAAAGGATCAATCACTTCTAGAAATAAACCATGATAATGATGAATAAGACACGT